TACCATTAACATTGTACTAGGTTGAGTAATAATACCACCACAATGAAATAGATCGAACAAAGTTCGAGCAATAATCTTCTCTACATGAAAACCTTCATGCTATAATCATCTGATCATTAACTTGATGAAATATTGTACAATTTAATCGAAATATTATCCATGTGATGTTGTTCAGTTTGGATCAATAATACATATTGATTGTATCATAGAGAGATGTCATTTTCAATTTAAGGATTGGACAATGCGATATGGTGTTAATTTTCCCGGCTGTTATTTTAATTTACTCTAATTAATTATTTGAACAGATAAACAATGGAAAAAAACGCTACGTAAATATTCATGCACCATGAGCTGAGATACTGTCTGGGCCACAAAACCGATTTTTTAGAAGGTCACTTCACAAGCCATTGACCCGAAGATCTAATCAACAAGGCGCTGGAGAAACATGGAGATAGATTCCTGTTGTTCCCAGTAACCAGCAATAGGTTTATATGCCATTTATTTCCTCAGGATCTTGGAGTCTCTCTGCACTAATGACTTGTACTAAGTGTTTTACAGTCCATCTAGATGGATTCTTCGTTCCCACCGAAACAGACTTTAATTTGCTTTGCCCTCAAGTTCATATACAATATACTCACTATGTGATGGCAGTGGCTGTACACACGTAACCATATATGAGCATTTGAAGTGAGAGAACGGATTTTCAGCACTCTCATCTGTACAAAGGTACTTTATGACTAAAATTTTAACGTCTTATGAACAGAAATGTAATGAGTAAGACTATTTTCAATTATAATGACCAATTGTATCATCATGAAATGTTTACTAACAATTTCTTTAATGAATTATTAATGCATAGAAATCAGTTAGACTGTGGTGCGAGCTACTTATAAGTAGTATATGACGTGAGTATCAACGTAATGTCTGGCAGCAGAAGATGGGGGAAGATCAAGAAACGAAGAGTTAGAACACAATGGAATTTGTATGAAACGCATGAATAGTGAGTGACAATGGATTGATGTTTTGCAACAGGAACAGTCAAGTTTGATATGATGGACTGATATTTTGCAAATGAACGATTTAAGATATGGTTTTCCGATTTTACTGAGTAACTCTGTAATTTTCGTTAAATACTGTTGGGGATGTTAGATCCCCAAAATTCGCTTGATAATGCCGTATTTTGGTTTTCACGTTTCGCCAGCATGGGCTGATCAGATGACCTTGAGATTTCAATTCCCACCAGCAAAATCAATGGCTGTGATTGGCTACAGTGTATTTTAGTATGCTATTTTCTTAACTGTCTCAAGGACGTTGTTATGTTGTATAAATAAACGAGAGTTGTATGCTTGATTGTACTGGGATTGCTGGGTGCTTGTAGAATATACTTCTACGCCTACAAAGTCTTCTATTTCGATTCTGGGATTCAGGGTAGCC